CTAATTTTTGACCATATTCTGTGGTTTAGGCCCTGATATGCTGTTCTCCAAACAGTCTAGGCCTTTGCCTTGACAGAAGACTAAACATTGCCACTGAATTCAGGGGTAGGTTTGATATAGAAGGCATAGAATGGGGTAAAAGGGTTAGGGAATGTGTAAACAAGGGAAAGGAACAAGGGACAAAGGGGTTTCTGCTTTTTAAAACCTACCTATAAAATTTACAAGTCTTACAAATATTAGAAAAATAAAAAAACATTAGGGGCTTAAGGCATCAATGCAAAGTGATCCACGAAGAGGAAACAAACCCAAATATTTTATTGGCATCATTGAAGTGCAAAATGTACAACCGTAACACTCTGTCCTCCTCTGAATTTTGAGGAGCATGGCTGACAAAACAGAAACGTGTGTGACTGCACAAGGAACACGAGCTTGTCTCTATTTCTTTCAGCAAGGTTGTTTTCTAGAAAGGCTGTTCATGTTTTCTCCCCCAAAGCAAACAGGTCTCGATACATTGCACAAGGCCTTTGCACAGGTACAACTGGAAGAAGCACGTAGGCAAATTTCTTCTAGTTAAGAGAAGACTGGCAAAATCAGTCTCAGGTCTCAGGAAGAGTGTAAGATAACTGAAAACAGTGGAGGAGGGAAAACAAATGTACAGAACTTGTGATCTCTCTTACTTTTCCTTGGCTGGTAGGAAAGGCTAATAAAAGCAATGAATTCATATTGTACTGTTCTAAGGATCAAGATCCCACTTTCTTTTCATTCATCTCAAAATCCTGGGGCATTGTACAACTTAATCAACCCTCTCAATCAGGGAATGAAGCAAAGATTACACCTCCTGAAGTATAATTCCCTTTGGAGCTCTTCCTGGAACTGACTGTACTATATTTCAGTCGGTGCTAGTGCTTGATAAGACAATCGAATCCTTTGTTAAGAACTTCCAAAAGGAAACAGAGGCACCAATTAATTGGTATTCTGACTGGAACTAATTCAAAGGTGTCTTCTAGTACCTTGGGATACAGTGTGTTCTGCTTTGGAGAGAACCAATCAGTCAGAGATTGATGAAGGGGTGATGAGGTCAGGTTTGCAAATATAGAACCATCTGCACAGTCTCCTGGGTTGGTACCTGCAACACAGTAATTTACCGGAGCAGGTGTTTCCTTTTAATATACATTTTTTTTCTGCTGAAATTGTAACTTTATTGAGAAAGTGCCTGCAGTTTGTTATTAAGAGGGTACTTCTTTTATTGTTGCTATTAACTGTTAACTGCTGAAAGGTTTCTGAAAGTTGTAATACCCACACTTGTTAAAAACACAGGTAAGAAAAGAGGCTATGATGTTAAATATTGAAGTCAATCTGACACATCTTCAGAAAGCTGCTACACATAAACATAACAAAGTCTAAAAGGCTGTTTTTAAAACAGAATTATTTCATTCAGAAAGAAGCCGTTTCTTCCTGAATATGGGTGACTGAAATTATCATAGTCATTAAGATCATGATTTATTTCTGTTTACAGACATAAATAATTATGGAGGAAGGAGGCTTTCTGAAACAAAAGAAAAATTCAAGAATTCCAGCTGGAATTTCCCACCTGACTTGAGCTTTGTGGGATGCATAATCTGATAAGTCCTCTCTGCTTTGGATCCAACACACAGAGGAAGGTCAGCAGATAATATATTTAACTCAAACTCAGGTTCCTGGCTTTGCTGCACCTCATACTCTGCTCCAGCTCTACTATAATACACACAATCTCTTCTCTGGCCAAACATCTCTCGACCCAACTCCCAGATCCTAGGAACTGTCTTTGCATCATTAACTTCAACTGGGGGCAAACACTGAGGGTGTTCCCTTAAGGGGGTCACGTTCCACAAGTCTCTGCACGGGCATTACACCTCCTGCTCCTCACAAACCTAATGCCACAAACATTCTTGAGAATGTTCCTTGGGTTTGCCTAAGATATTTTATTGACCCTGTAATTCTTAACAGGACAAAAATAACATATGGGAAAGTAGTTTCTTGGTTTGAGCGTATCACCAAAAAAAGTCACAGAACGCTGCAAAGTGAATAAAACTCCAGCCTACATGAATCACAACATTAAAACCCAGGGAATGTCCTTTGCCACTCAGTGAGGCAAAAACACAAGTCAAATTGAACCTCTCACTAAAGAAACCAAGAGAGTTAGAAATGTTTCTTTTTTCCTATTCTACTTCAGACGTTAAATCTAAATGTCTTAGTTTAAAACCAACTCGCAGGAAAAAAACCCATACACACTTCTGACCATCTGGTCATATACTGGATTTTGTTATTGCACTTTCCTCTTCTTTTGAATTTTGTTAATTATGGTTTGGGGTAAATTTTAGGAAATAAAAGGACAGTGACTCAGCAACTGAGGAAAAAACCCTTGTTCTGTGTTTTTGTTTAAGTCTGGTAATTAAATACAGATTTACTCCTCTGGGGAAAAAAATAGATGTCAGAATCAAACTGCTTAATTGGCAGATTTTTCAGTTTTTAATTGAACTAGTTTAATTTTTACCTGATCAGGCATCACCCTTAATTCTAATTTAGGGGTTTGATCTTTTTTTTACTTCTGGGAAGGTCCCCTCTGTTCCCAGCATGTTCCTCTGTCACTCTGATGAACACATCTCTGATGAGACAAAGAAATCCTTACTTTCCCAGAAATAACTGCCTCATCTGTTGCTAATTTCCCTTCCATCTCTTATGGAACACATGGCTCCTTTCTGTGACCTCTTGCTGTGTGCACATCCATGAAATATTTTCTTTCCTCTTCTTGCAAAATTTTCCAAATTTAGTAACAACTTTTTAATGTATGTTTTCCACCTATTCTCATCTACATAACTCAAAAACAAATGCAAAGTATTATCATGAATCCTTTAAGCAAATCTTTTAAGTGGCTTACTGAATGAAAAAAGTCTTCCCATTTTCTTTTCATCCCTTTTAGCTCTACATTCATTTCCAAAGCAACAAACTTGTATGGTTTCTGTTGCTCGGTATTTTTTTATTATTTTGCCTCGTTTCTCATGTTCTTCCTGACCCCCACATGAGCTGTGCCTCTGCAAAGTAAAATAAGCAAATGTGCATTTCAATTGTCATGTCTGGGCTGTTGGATCTGGCCTGTAACTTCTGTTGGACACTCCCATGATAAATAACACTGAAAAGCAGAGCAATTTTTGGAATTGTATTTGCCGTCGATAATTTGCTCTTGGTTCAACACATCTCGATGCCCCAAGTCTTAACTAAGAGAGCAGCACAAAACAATTCTGCAAATCCTCTCCAACAGAACCACTAAACAAATCCTTCCCATAAAAACATGAAACAAGGCCACACAAATTCTAAATAATCTCATTTGAAGTTTGCACAACCTATTTTTTGCACTGGGAAAGACGGAATTTGTCACAACAATTAATTTCCTCTACTACTGACTGAAAATGTGCAATATATTAAAATAAGTCTTGGTGAATAATTAGGATCACCAGGTCAACTACACAGTATTTCAAGAGAATAAAGTTGCTACTGAGAAAATGAGTACTCTTTTTCTTGCCACTCTCAGCAGCCTTGCTTGTTTTGCATATGGCTTGCATGTTTAATTAGCAATCTTTCTGTAAGTGTCTGCAATTAGACAATGATGATTAATAAAATAACTCCTTTAAAGCTCCATTTAGGCAGCAGAACTGCACAATAAGGTATAATTAATTCATCATTAATAAATCATGGCTGGTTAATTAATCTGTTGATTACAAACACATTACTGTATAGCCTCCCACCTGAGCTCTGGTGATTTTTCTATCCTGAAAAGAAACAGAGACAAAGTAGTAGTAAACTATAAAAAAAACCGCTTTAAGCAGCAAAGATATTGGTTTAGTCAGGAAATTTAGATAATAAGTATCTTTAAAATTTATGGGCCTTGTTCATCATTAGTCCTCGTAGAGTAAAAAAATAATTGAACCGCCTATGTGTTAAATGTGGATGGGTGAACAACAATTGGCCCTTTAGTTCATTTATATTCTTAAAGAAGGGATTTTTTTTCCCAAAGCATCTCAGATTATAGGCCAGATTGAGCCTTTGCATAAACCACAAGCAGAACAAGCTTGCAGCATTGCTGCTCAAGGACATCCACGTCACCAGCCAGGAAGTGACCAGTTTGATTTGTGAGAAGGTGAGGCCAAGGATAAACCTGCCACTGCAGCAGGGCTGCTGAGCTGCCTGTGTTTGATGTGTGATGATGACTCCATGTTTATAAATAATATTTCAGGTCCGTGAACTTCAGTGTACTCAGACTGAGTACAGAAGAATGGGCATTTCCACTTGGAGACTCCTTTTGCTTGCCACCTAGCCCTTGACCCCAATAGTGCTTTTAAATCACAATATTGGTATGTTCTGTGTAGCTACAGGATATAGAAACTTGTCTCCAGGTACTTGGACTTCAGCAAGATATGTGATAAACTATGATAAAATTCAAAATAACTGGAAATAAGGGAACTTTGGCATGACTAAGTTCCTCATTGTTTATAAAAGGCTGACATCCAGCTGTTCCTACATTATGAAAATGCCTCTGAGTTCAAAACACTTCATTCTCAAATACTGCAAAGAGAAAGAACTAAGGCTAAAGCTTAGGACAGAGGTGACTTGAAAGAGACAGCAGAGTTTCAGCTGGAGAAACAGAAACAGTTCAATATTCCTAATAAATCCAGTGAAAGACCATGTCATGGTGACAAAATCTGAAGCAGCACTTCAGGAAGAAAATTCTTCCAGAAAGGGTATCTACACTTCCAGGAGCAAATCTGCAGTCTTTGAGAAGTAACTGACATTGCTGTAACCAATAAAGTTTCCTTTCAGAGTTTAATCAGCTTTATGTGCATCTCTACGTCAATCTCTTAAATCTTTCTGCTCTAATGAAAAGCATTGACTAAGCAGCAGCACTATGAACAACTGCAGTACCATTCATCTCTGAAACATGCTGCTCATAAAAGAGAACCACAAGGCACATTTCCAAAACATTTGTATTTTTTCACATTTCAATTCAACTAAATTAATGAACATGAATGTCATTTTAATATATGGCACAGAAAATACATGTTTCAAAGAAAGGAACTCAGATGTCATGGAAAATTCTGAATCTGGGAGAAGTTTGATTATTTTATCAATCAGAGATGTCTACAGTTCAATCCAAGAAGCAGAAAAACAAGACAGCTGCCCTTGAACATTCTTTGAAGTCAGTGTATACGTGAAGTGGCAAGATTAAGAGGGAAGAAAACAATACCAAGGATCTTGAAGATCAGAAGATTTTTCAAGCCCTTTTTAAAATGGACCACAAGGAATCCAAGACTTCTGAGAACAGGGGGATTCACTGCCTGGAGCTGAGAGAAAATCAGCATAACAGGAGTTCCGTGAAGGTGTGGGAGATTAGTGGCAGCTCCTTCAGAAAGTCAGGGTTCCTTTTAACACCACAGCACTTTGCCCTGCAATGTCCACCCTCCCGTCGCTGCGCAGGCAAATCTTCAACTCCCCTCCACGGCGGGAACACTGAAAGGCTGAAGGGAAACAAGAACCCACAGTTAAAATCTCCTGTGGAGCACAAAGCACTTAAAAAGCCAGGAAAAACTCCAGCAAATGAGGCTTCTGTCTGCAGAAAGCAAACACTGCACCAGGGACAGGCTTTAGGGATGAAGATCAGCTGGGCTCTATTTCCAACTGGAACTTGGCTCCTGAGTCTCACAAACCTGCTCCTCAACACCAGCTGGGAAGCTGCTGTGCTGCAGCCAACTGAAGCCTTGAGTTCTCCCTCCCTGGGACACACTTTCTGCAGGTCAGAAGGAAGAACACCAAGCATTATCTCCAGGAGAATGAAGAACCATTTTCCTGGCACTGAACAGCTCAAGTTGATAGGACAGTCAAAGAAGGAAGGAGGCTGAGGGGGAAATAAGCTCATGCAGGCAGTGGAAAAAGTCTACAAAGAAACATCACTGCTGCTTCAGCTGTCACAAACTGACACCAAGTTCATCCAAAGACAGGAACAGACACTGATTTACAGAATCCTGAATATATAGTTTAATACAACTGGATCAACCTGAAGTAGGAACAGCCTTGTAATTAATTACAGAACTGAGCTTTTGCCTGAACTGTTCAGCCATACACAGGTGGGATGATAAAGTTCACTTCACTTGTGGACTCTGTAACTTATTTCAGCAGAGCCATTTTAGTTGCACAACTCCTTGATCAGAAAATGGTCTGGTTCAGATGGTACTTAGAAAATGTTTGAGTTTCATGTAGTGTTGCTTTTGTAAAAGGCTGTAAATGGATGAAGAGGCTTTAATGTCCAGTTCCTTACTCAACGAATTTCCAACTGCTACAGGAGTTGTTCAAAACTAAAGGGTATATTTTTCCTCTCAGACCCACAATTTTTAAATTAGACACAGACTGTACTCAGATCCCTGCAGACCATAGGCTCTCTAACAGATGGCATATATGCTGTATGCTTTAAAACTCTTTCTCAGTCACTGCTGATAAGAAAGCTCTTCTTTGATCAGGATATTAGATTCCCAGACAAAGTAGACACTCTAAAACAGTGGAAACAGGACCTATCTAAAGATTGATATTGATACTTTCTGTTCTTTTCCATTTATAGAACCACCAGTTATTGGTTTTAACTGGTCAGAACATCATGTAGGAATGGAATAATGCTTCAATTGGGTATTTTTGACTCTTAAAGATCCAGGCCATGCTACATTTGATCTATTATTATTGCCAAGAGTGGATACACACCTAAGCTCTCCCACACCCTTGTGATAGCAGATATAAATAAAAGAGATTAATTATTTCATATCTTCAGAGGTTGGTTGTGGTTGGTTTTTTTTCTTGTTAAATATTCAAGCAGTACTGGCTGTTTCATGGCAGAATTACTGAGATTGTTTTCATATTGGTCCATCTCATTTTATTTTTAAAGAAACTTCCAAAGCAGGAGAAAACCAAAAAATAACCCACAAAAGAAAGGTTTAGCCAAGCTTATATGAAAATAATACTTGATCTATTCTTTCTCTCCCACAGAAGCACTGATATTTCACACTAGGTCTGAGGGCAACCAGGCCTGCAGGGCACATTTCAATAACTAGAAGATTTCATTCACCAGCAATACCTCTGCAGACATTCAAGCATCTCTGGTGTGCACTCACCTTTTAGATCACAGGGTTATTGCATGTCCAGTCCTCGTCCGTATTTACTAGGAACACCTCATACTATATGGAGATTTTCTACATATTTTCCATAAAATCAAGTATGTGCAATTGCAGAAACAATACATAACAGCTACATTCAAAGTGCTCTGAACTCCTCTGTGATTAACCTGACACAGGCACTGTGAAGCTGAGTATGCTGATCTCACAGAATCACACACCCCTGCCCTCTCAAGTCAGCCAGTGGCCTTATGCTGAGAGTATCCCATTGTTATGAGGAGCTTCTTCTAAGTCTACATGTAGCTAAATGGTCACTGCACACAAAAGGGGCAAAATGGTTTAAGGACTAATGGATTTTCCTCATGATGTCATCATAATGACATCAACTCCGGAAAAAGTGCCGTTTTTGCAGTAATATATGTTTTAAGAAATCACCAGTATTTTGGGTGGATTTTGGGAAGCCAGTCTGTTTGGTGATATGGAATTACTTATGCACATTTATAAATATTGCCTTAGAAATGTGAAAACCATGTGAAGGGCTGGATACACAGACAGCTGCTATACACTGCACTCATTAACAAATAAGAAAGTCCATACATTTGATATAAGAGACTATAAACATTGCAGAGATTCCTCAAATGAAAGACAGGCAAGGATTGATATTGAACCTTGATTTAGCCAGCAGCTTAAATTCAGGAACATGTACACAGTTTCAAGAAAGATCATAAAGTATTTCACCTGGAAAATTCTCTTTGTAGCCTCCTCCTAGAGGTCACCATAGCCAGAGAGATCTGACAATGCATTTATTGTTTCTTATTTTTGTATTATTTCATATGCAATCTGTTTGGGAACTAACAGATCCTTCACTTTACAGAAGAAATTCTTCCTTTATTCTAACAATAACAAGTATTGGGTATTACAGAGGCTACTAAGTTTCCTAAGTAAGTCAGTGAAACGATTCATTTGGAACAACTCTCAAGAAAATTCCAACATTGACCAGAAATTATATGAGCTGTTTTGGTCTCAGTATACATGAGGGGAAAGGAAAACACTGCTCAAAGTGTACTGGAAAGTACACCTGGTTAATGAAAATACTGATACCTCTTCCCAATACCCAACAGGGAAACCAGAAAGACCAAGCAGGAAAATAAAATCCAATCAAAACACGTAAACAGCATCACCTGAGTTTCACCAGCTTCACCTGTGATAAAAGGTCAGGAGAACTAAAATCCAAAAGCTGAAATCAAAAACTCTCTGCAGAGAGCTATGATCCACAAACAGATACTTCCAACTCCCTGTGGGCAGGATGTGCCATGGTGGTGGGGAGGAAAGAAAGCAATTTATCAAAGATTACCTCACATGCTAAATATTACATCATGTTCTACTCATACTGAGAAAATGGATAGGGAGTTAATACTACAGTTTGGACTGCAGTAATAATAAACCCTTGTCTTTTCTAGGGAGTAGATAATAAATGGGCAGCTTTGCAATAAAACAGTTTCTCTTACCAAGCATTTCTTTCTTCCCCAGTTGCTCTGACCAGTAGCTGCTTAACACAGCATGAGCAGATCCTTAAAGGAAATTGAGAAAAAAAGTACAGAACTAAATTATAATCATTATTTTATAGAGCAAGCACAGGCAAAATGCAAATGTCATACATCAAGTGCCACGTGTGCCTAAGGCAAAAAGAAAACCAGCTACGAGTTTGCACAGCAGACAGAACTTAAGGCTTTATAACTGCCATTATTTACAATAAAGCAGTATTACTTCCTTATCCTCTGGCTTCAATGGAAATTTTGCTTAGCTGAGGGCTTCAGCATTAGCCACCAACACAAAAAACAGAACGCTGATGGAAGTGGACATGAATTTCTACTGCAATACTCATCCAACACTGAACCAGTCTCTCACTTTTCTCTAACTAGAACACTTCAGGGAAAAGATCTGAAAAAGACACAGGAATGTCTGGCCTAATGACAGCAAGAAGCTGACTGGATTTTTGCTGAATAAATTGTCATCGGCCATGAAAGTTTTCAGTTTAGTGAGCACACTCCTGCTGGCCATATAAAACACGAAGTTATAAGAGACTCCAAAGAACAAAAACAGATTCATGACGTTTAATATGAACCCTTTGGTTGAACTGAAACAAAAGGAAGAGTTGCTTATCTCACACACACACCTGTAACAGGGTCCTCCAAAACTCCATACCAAGGTGCAAAATATCTGGAGTAAAAATCGTGACCTTTCCCACTGGAATTTCCCTTAAGAGTGAGTATGAGTCCTTTCACTTTTCCCGTCTTTTCAGCTGACAAAAAGCTTTGTGCACTCACTTTCAGTTCTTCCAACACAGACCTTGAATATAAATTATAAAATTTTAATAGCCCATATTCTTCATTTTACTTGAATGTAAGTACTGAAGAGAAATATAAAACTATAAAATCATCTTCTCTACGATTCACAAACAGCCTTAAAATATTAGAGGAAACATTGTCCTCTCAATGTTATTTGACAGAAATCATCCGGAATATAATACACTCTGAGTGAGCAGAGAAAAATAAAGCTCAGGCCATGCACTTTTTATTTATTTCTGAATATGCAGCATCCTAGAATAGCAGCTACAAAAAAAAAATCAAACTTTTATTTTAACATTTTAATCATTGAAAGAAATATTTCCTCACTACAGAACACACAGAGTTAAGTGCTCCACCTCCTTTCAGAGCAAGCAAAGAATACCATTCAGCTCTTTGTGGCATTCTAAAGCAGCCTACAACTGTCCAATACCTCTCTGCAAAATAAAGTCTGAAAGAGTAAAAATAATAAGTACTCACATGAGGACAGTTCCATGTATTTCTATCTTCCCACTACCCCAATCTTTAAACATTAGTTCGGCCAAACTTCAAGTTTGTAACAGTAGTAACTTGGTCTGATTAAAGAAGTTGTCTTTCCACAATATATAGCTGAGTCATACTTGAATTAACAATGAAATTCAGCTCTATGAGAGTCACAAATGCTTTGGAATAATTTGAATTGGAATTTTCTCTGTAAAGCTACTTACAATGCTGTTAAGCATGTGAAAGCAGATTACAGTCCATTGAGTGTAAGAATTCCTGGCATTCTGGCAATGTGCTCTGAATCAAAGCTGGACTCCTAACTTCCTGCCAGGGTACTGGAGCATTTTAGACTCAGATGGAAGGGGAAAATACACCATCATTAAAACTGTTTCCTACACCTCCTTTTCTTCAAAACAGATTTCAGACTGATCTTACTCACCTTTGCAGGTTCAATAAGTTCAAACTAGAAGATAAAATAACTATTAATACAAGAAATTAAAGTTAGAGTTTTTAATCTCCACCTGATTTAAAACTAGATAAGAGAGCTTAGTAAGTAAGGAAGAGAGATTACACAAACCAACCCAATTTCTGCACTCTTGAATTATGAAAAAAAATTTTAGACACCTTTCATAAGCATCACTGAGACGGACTAACAGTTTCCTTGTGTCAGGAGAGTAACGGACATCTTGAACAGCCATGTCACCAACTGCTGCCTGGGGGAAAACATAAAGGAGATAAAGGAAACATCACCACTGGAATATGAAATACTGTTTCCTTAACATTTTTGTGGAACACACTCCCTGCTACAACAGTCCCTATGCAAGGTCTCTCATACTAGAGGGTTCTCCAGTACAGGCAAGCAAGACAAGCAAAGGCACTCATGAATGGATATGGGTGGGTGGCAAGAGCTCCACAGATGGTAACTCAGACAGAAATCCAGGACCTAGAAGAGGGCAAGGACACTCCAGTCAACAGTAGTGGGAGACAGGTTCAACTGCAGCATTTTGGAGAATTCCATTTCCTGACCTACTGAGTCCAGACTCAGACCTTGGAAGTTTGGTGTTTCAAGTTCAGGAGTACAACAAGCAGGGCCTTGTTGCCATTTTAACATACAAAAATAAGTAGAGCTATTACAAATGTTCTTCTAAGACAACATATAGATTCTATTTTTACCTTTATTAATTCTTCTACTTCCTCAAGTACCTGAAGAAGGGGGAAAAAAAAGGCACTGTAAAAAATAAAATATATATATGTATGTATTTATGCAACTATAGACACACATATATATTATATACACATAAAACATCAACATACACATACAAACATCAACACACATTTCCCTGAAGGCCTGTCAGGAATAAAACTTTGACTGACCTGAGGATGGGCTGGATAAAGTGGCAAGTCCAGGACAATGTCATCTTTCACTAGTCTGGCTTTTAATTCCCCGCTCAGTGTCACAAATGTGAGAACTGGATTTGTATTTTCTAGAGAAAGAACATTGTAACGTTATCAAACACAAGAATTTGAATCTAAATTATTACAGCTCTTGGAGTAGCTCAGTATATTCAGAAAAAGTTAATTATGCAGCTGTAGCCATCAGACCACAGCCTTATAATGACAGAGCAGTTGTACAAGACAACACCTACGGTATCTCCACACGTGTCCTCTAAATGTTATGAATATTTAATTCCCTTTGTTGTAGAAAATGAAGATCTTAGTCAGAAGTAAATGTTCTAAAATGTTTATATATAAAATATCCAGTTTGTAAGCATACTTTGTATGTGAAACAACACAGCAGCTGATGCCAGGGTAGCGTGACCACAGAGAGGAACTTCACTGGCTGGGGTGAACCACCTGAGTCCAAAGCAGGAACCTGGAAAGAAAGTTTAGGTGCTGTTAGGAGGTGGAAGAGTCTATTTCTTCATTTGATCTCAACACTTTACACAGAGTGCTGATGTCTCAGTTAAACAAAAGGCACGTTATAAGCAGTCTTGGTCCTAAACACACTTTTAGAAACCCATTTGGCACTGATTTCTGGCACAGCTCTCACTTTTTAGTCAGCTCAGCAACTGGACTCTACTACCAACCAGAAGAGCTACTTTGATACAGGAGCAAAGGATGTGCAGAGCCAAAGGATGCTCCAGAACTGCCTCCAGCCTGGGAACAGGCACATCCCTGAGAGGTGGAACTGGCACCTCTGGTGCTGCTGGGGAGCCAGAAACCAGGGACATCCGAGATGTCACTGGTAAGAACAAACCCAACCAACTGTGACAGCCTCAACTCATAACTTATCCCCCAAGAAGGTGAAAAATAGTCTGGGAAAAGGGGAAAACAAACTGAGAAAGTAAGAATCAGTAACTGCCACTGGTTGTTCTAACTGAAAGAACAGGGAAACAGCCTGCAAAAATAAAAACTGGTCTGAGAGAACTGAAAACACCATCATCTATTGGCTGTTTCAGGTGAAAAGTGGAACTTAACAGCATCTATTGGCTTCTTGAAGCAGTGGCATTCTCTTATGTCTCTGAGATACAAAAATGCCTTAATTTTTACCCAAAATGAGAACTTTGAGAACTCCAAGAAATGCACAGATTTTTCCTTTTTCCTAAACAGGTCTTATTTAGAAGATAAGCCTCTGTGTCCTTGTGTATTATGGAATCCCACAAAGGCATGGTCATGATCCCTATACATCTGCAGGCTGGTTTGCCCTTCAGGGGTTAAGTGTCTTCCTATTCCCTTGTTAGATATTTTGGGCAGTAAACAGAACCAACTCACTTTTGGTGAAGTCATCTCCAGGGTGCAGCTTTCTGATGAAAGCTGTTTCTGAAAGATTCATTTCTGTTGCGATTTTCTGGTGCAAATCTTCATCCAACTCCTAATGATGAAACAACAAATCCAATTAAAAGCAGGCCAAAAAATGCAGAATCAAACTTTCTGTCAAATACAGTTATTTCATTTTCTATTATTAATAAAACATAGATTCAGCTACAGTTCAATATATTTTGTGAGATTAAAAAAATCTTTAAGCATAAAACTGGGATAACAATCCAACCAACCATTGCGATACATGGGAATTTCTAATATTTGTCCTCTTAGTTCACAAATTCTTGGACTACATGGAAAAATAAATCACCTAAAAAACTAAACTCAGCCTTTCCAGAAACACAAATCTGATTTTTTAAGTTGTAACTAAAGTCACACTGAGAAGTCATTATTGACATAATCTAAAATTAACTACAACTTTCTTTTTATAACTCTGAAAAATCCCTGCCACCAAGAGCTCTGTAGTGATGGAATGCCCAAGGTGGCTCATCAGCCCTCAGGGCCGTGCCCTCCCCAACACTCCTTCAAGAACAATACACTGAGTCAGTGGGACCTGAGAAGAGAGAAACTGGAAAAAAAAAAAAACCAGCAGAAAAGCTGGAGCTCAGTAAGTGCCCCTCCATCTAAACCAGTGAACACTGATCCCAAGATGCACGAGCCCCACAGAGTGTAGAACATTCTACCTGGCCCTTGTCCCATTGCTTTCCCCACAGTTCTGCTGACTGCCCAGGTTTGAGAATCTGATCGTTAAAATACTGAGACTCAAATAAAACAAAGGTCTAAGGGGACCTGATCAGGTTCACCATCTGAGAGATAAAAATCTGCCCTCCGAACTTTGATTATTTCCTTTAATAACTAATCATTTTTAGCCAATAATCCCATACCACACATACAAAACAATTATTAATGTGTACAATGACCTGTTCTTGCAGATTAAATTCTACACAACTAAACAACATTTTAACATTTTAGAGTAACAAGCACCTCTCCTTTATTCCAGAAAAACAGTTCTGTAATTTACAGTCACAGTAAGGATCCTAAAGCAAAACAAAGACCAACAAAAATGTTGTTAAAAATAACATTTTTAACAATATAGAACTTTATTGAAATACTGCCATCCTGTGGCACCTCTGACACACAGAAAGGGCTGGTTCTGCCATTCTCGCATTACTCCCGATTTTTTCGGTAAAGCACCTGCCGAGACACTGAAGGGAAGAGAGTAGTTTTGCTGCTGGCTGCACCATGCTCCTTGAAGCTTAGGATAAAATGTTAAAGTAGGATCTCAGCTTTAACTTGGACACTAAAACCTCTACCTGCAGGAACTGCAGAAAAAACTTCATACGACCACATTCCACAGGAACCGTGCAAGTAAATTGTCCTCACAATATCTCAGTGTAATAAAGCAAAATTAATGTAAAAACACAGTCAGAAGCTCACAGTTTTAAACCAGAGATCATTCTGAGAGTATTTAGATTTCAGGGGGCCAAAAATACCTGAGAAGTAAGATGTTCTCAAGTCATAGCTTTAGCTGCCCTGGTGAGTAGGCAATGTTGTATGAAACGTAGGTAGACATAGGAACATCTAGAAGGGATTCATATCATCAGTACAAGCTGTTGCCATTGAGTATTCAACATATATTTTCCTATTTACAATTTCCATCAGGAATTACTACACAAATAATACAAGGGCTATAAACTTCTAATTCCCATTTAATAATTACTTTTAGTAGAAATCAGTTCCAATTAGTACCAACACCTGATGAGGAGGGTAACTGCTGACAACTGAACCAAAACTACCAACTTTGAAGCAATAAAAACGGGCTGTTTAAACTCGACTAAAGATGAACCCAACACACTAATGATGGAAGACTAAGATCCAGGTCTATACTCCCCGTCTTCCTTTACACAAAAAAAATTAAAAACAAAAAAACGGAGAAAACCCACACCAAAAACCACAGCTCAATCCTTCAGTCAAAAACTACTGAGTACTGATTCTGTGTTACAGCACTACTTTTCAAAGATTTCATTCTGAATCCTTCTTAATCCTTCAGAATCATTCTTAAGAAATTAAGCCATTTCTTTTTGACTTAACTCAGTTAGAATACATCCAGTATATTCCTTACAAGAATAAATATTTCAAAAAGCCCACAAAAAAAACAAAGGGTGTCTCGTGTGACATCGTTCTGATGCCAAAGGCACCCCGCGCTAATTCCTCTCTGTTCTGCAGCAACAGCGAACAACCCTGGCAAGCAGCGCTCCCGAGGGAAGGAAGCAAAGTCTAACGCAGTGCTGAGCACTCAGGCCGAGCCCCGAATGGCAAATGGCAGTGCAGGACCTCAAGACACACTTGTCGGGGGCTTTTGTCACTTACATTTTCAAGCAGACAAACTGCCGCGGGATTCCCAGAAAACGGCCGGTTTGTAAAGGCATCGACCGTAAAAACTGGGATTTGCATTGTCCTTTGAGCCCGTTCAGCCGCAGGCTGTGCCCTGCAGGGGACTTTCGAACCTTCTCTCCCCCAAACGACATCAGAGCTCCAAGTTAATGTTTCCCTG